GCTCGGTGGTTGTGTGTGTGTGTGTGTGTGTGTGTGTGTGCTTTGGGGAGACGGAGCTCCGTTTTCTCATCCAGTTGGGAGAAAAGACAGCCATCGATCTGCAGATTTCAAATGAGCCATCCCACAGACCTCGGGGCATCGGCGCATGGGAAACAAGCATGCGCAGAGTGCATAACCACCACCCCCAAAGGTGCCACACCCACTTGGGGGTTACGGAACAGGCCTTGGAAGTCAACGTATGCCCGTCCGCTTCCTGAAACGGCTTGTTTGCCTCCCCTCCTCTGTCTTTTGAGAAATCGCTCTCCCAGCCAGGGCAAGAAAGCCACGGTGAGGCGCATCTCCGGCGCATTGCATCCAGGTCACCGACCGTATTGAATGTTTGGCCCACTCTGCGCCAGGGGTGGCCACTTCCCCCTCCGGGCCACTTCACTTCATTCCAGGGCTTCCCCTTTCCCTCATTCTTTCTGCAGTGACAGGAGTCGCTTGTTGATGCGCTGCATCACTGGCTTTGTAGTCTTCAGGGCCACACGCCCAGATAATATTTTAGCCTTCCCGGAAGAATGCAACACACCATCTGTTTCCATGGATGTTGCAAAGCTGGCCTTTGAGGGTTTTTATTTATTTTTTGGGGGAGGGTATTCGGTAATCACGAGAGCCATCAAACCAAGAAAACAACACCAAAATGAAGAGGAAAAGCAGCCACCCACAAATAAGGTATTTCTGCCATACCTCAAAGGGGTCACGGACCGCATGGGGAAACTTTGGGAAAAAACACAACCTACAAACAGGATTCAAGCCCACCAGAAAAATACAACAAATGTTACGGTCAGCAAAGGACAGAAGGGACCCCCTCACCACAGCGGGAATATACCGGATACCTTGCAGTTGTGGGAAGTACTGGACAACACCAGCAATCTGTATGTTAGACTGCACAGGGAAGCCATTGAAATCCACAAACACCATCAGAGCTTCAACAAAAAAGAAGAAAGTCTAAATTTCAACAAAGCTTGGCTCCCAGCACTGAAAGATACAGCCTGCAAAAGGTCAATGAACTCTACCCAGCCACAAGGACCAGTGATCACGGCACATAAAAGACCAGCTAACAACACCCATCAATCACAGTGACAGATCATCTCTCTCCCCTTATCACAATACATCCACAATAAAAAAAAACGCTAATCACCATAATCACCCAATCTCCTGAAAAGGACAAAAGCTGATCCCACCGCTATAAATATTCAACTATCCAAACAAACTGCACGAGAGCACAGGCAGAGTTCTGACTCCTGTTCCTCTGAAGATGCGGGGCCACAGAGACGGGCGAAACATTAGGCAGAAAAATCTTCAGAACATGGCCAAACGGCCCGGAAAACCCACAACCACTATTGGTATTCGGTACATTTGACTATTCCTGGCCACCACTTTGCAAGATCATCAGTGCTGTGCTACCAATAAATTAATTCCCACGGAGTCGCACAGTTTTGCTGCAAAACCAAAACATATGGCAGACGATTGGGTGCAAGCAAGAGACCGATGGTGCTAATTTCATGATGATGTGACCGATCCGTTGTTGTTGTTTTTTCCTGGATTTTAGCAACGCTCCCCACCCACCTTTTAAAACATTCCTACTGATTGGAATGAAGCACATGCATGCATGCGCACACACACTTTCCTAGTTCACCTCTGTGACCGTTGTTGTGTGTCTTGCTGAGATTCACCACAATCCCAAGTTGCAACTCTCCAAAATGTCATTTTGGTAATTTGGGGCGAATGCATGCAGAAGAGACCCCCCCGCCTGCTTTCACCACCACCCCCGTTTCCCTCTTCCAGATAGGGTGCACCCCCTAAAGGGGAAGCCCCCCCGCCTCTGGATCCGTCCCCCTCCCCTCCTTCCATCATACCGGTAGTACGGAGGGAAAGGGAAGGGCTTAACATTTTCTGGGCGACTTTTCTTTCCATGGTCTCTGGGGAAACCTGCTTCTGGCGGCGAAAGAATCAGCCGGGCCTTTTCTCCTCCCTGGGGGGGGGGTAACAAGTTGCCGTGGCAATCTGAGGTTTCCCATTGGGATGATCGATTTAGGCAAGGGGTTTGTGGGGGTCTGTGCG